CAGAGAAGTCAAGATAATTATATTGTGCAATAATTGTACACATATACACAATAAAAAACAATGTTTATATTTTAAAATTGTATTACTTATTTTTTATAAAAAAGCAACAATAATAGAGAAATAACGTGTTATAATCGCGAACAGTATTAGCGCCGTCGGAACGCTTCAGGAGGAACCGTTTCGACTGCGCTACAACGAGGAAGCGGATGTGCAACTGCTGCGCTAAGCATCACCTTGCACATTCCGCATTTCGGACTTCGAGCCGAACCACACCAAATAATTACCAAATATGGTAATCTCCTTGTCGCCAGGCACCCCCTCCGACAAGACTACACAATATTATAAAAGATCGGAGAAGATCGCCCGCCATAGACTTAACACCTCGGTCTCTCCGCGACATACGCAACCGACACGCGGTTTGCACATTACTATAAGAACTCGGGAGTAATAACTAAACACGCCTAAGTACGGTTATATTATAATAATTATAAATAAAGCCTTTTTATATATTAAATACAAGTAGCGGCTACAAACTTTACTACATTCCTACCCACCGCCACAGACCCTGCCGCGCCCGCATCTCCGATTCCGAACTCTTTCGCGTCCCGGCAACACGGGGCATGACAAACGAGTACAAGTATAGAATAGTACAACGGTTAAATGGCCATTTAAAAGCGTACATATGTCATCCCTGGTAAAAATGGTTCTCATAAATTTTCATACAATTTCTCACCTTATTATTTTTTTTAATGTTGTTATGTCATTAAATCTGAACGATTTAACCGTCATGCAATAAGTACTGAAGGCAGCAGCACCGAATAAAATATTAGTCTCGCTATGTAAATAACTTTTACAGAATTTTTTTGATGGTTTATTTAAAAATACATCATGCTTCGATTTTGATAAAATTTAATACAATCTGAACGGGACGATCGACCAAATTAATTCGCACATGTAACCCTTATAGAAATATTATACTAAGAATTATTGATAATTACTTATTATCCAGTATTTTTAATACTGAAAATAAGTAATTATCAATGATTCTTAGTATGATATTTCTATAAGGGAAAAGTACAGTATTTTATTAACATGATGGAAAAATGTCATTATCTGCTGTTTTATTGCAGTAATTTCTATACAGTCCTTGGTAGAAAATTAATTTCGAATTATCGTGCCGGTCTCTCTTACATTATTTATCCGCTAAACGGTTTCGTCTATATTTTGCGGTTTAAAAGGCAAACTATAAGATTTTTCTTCTTTAAACTTTAAGTGAGCAATATAAAGCGCTTTTTATCAAGTGAGGAATTGGCGTAGTGTCTAAGGCGACGGACGATTATCCAAAACATGTCTTCAGTTCAAGTTTGAATCTTACTAGAGAAAATCTTAAAAATTATGAAAAAATAATATAGAAAAACTTTTTTTTTCATAGTATTTTATGAGTATTTATGAGAAAGCGCTTATTCTATGAGTAATTATAAAAAATTTGAGAAAATTTAATTGAAGAACCTACGAAACGACAGGATCTGCGCGCAATCTGCCGCCAATCTGCTGTCAGAGTCTGTCGACAGGCTCTGCGCGCAATCTGTCGTCAGAGTCTGTTCGCAGATCCTGTCAATAGTCTGGCGGCAGATTGGGGACGCAGATGTCTATGGATCTGTCGACAGATCCTGCTCGGATTCGACAGATCCTGTCGACAGTCTGACGTCAGTCTGCGCCGATTGCTTACTGGGTAGAATACTACAATATGTGAACTCAGTTAGATTGATATAAGTAGAGTGAGGGTAAATTAACGTAAATGAGTTTTTCTTTTTTAAATTTTTGTTTCTTAAATTTTCGTTGTAATTTTATATAGATATCAATATATATTAATTGTTTTAAGTGATTAATTACTTATATTTTTCGTATAACACGTATTATAATTCAAATCTATTTATTATGTAATTCACCACTGCGTCGATAAAGTTGCTGAAATTCAAGAAACAGATCTTCTTTGTAGAATTAATTAAAGTAATTATTTTGCTGATAACCAGTTATAACATTTTGGAAGGTCTTGTGATACAGGTGATACAAATCCATTACTTCTCAAAAATAATAAACAAAGTTCATTCCCGATGTACCAACTAAAATGATAATGAAAGAATCACTAACTTGCAATATAGCATAGACAACCCTTATAGAAATATCATACTAAGAATCATTGATAATTACTTATTATCCAGTATTTTTAATAATGAAAATAAGTAATTATCAATGATTCTTAATATGATATTTCTATAAGGGAAGAGAATAATATGTGTGTATATACGAGTGTGTGTAAAGTGATGCCAACATTTGTGAGGATGTAGAACGGATTGTGGTGAACAAAATTTAAATATTTTTAATTTGTAATAATTTTCAAAATATTAATTATAGAAAATTGCATGAGAGGGAATACCAAAATAATAAGAAAGCTAGGTTTGAGCAGTTCAAGCTCTAGCGCGGACACAATTTATCTAGCAACTGATACCGTCTCTCCAAAAGAGAACAGTGAAAGAAGATTGTGGGATTTTCTTACGCAAATATTGGCTGCGTTCAGCGAAACAAAGTGATAAGTGAGCAATAAATTATTATTAGTCTGCACTGTTAGATCACTACTTTTGTTAGATCCATAAATATGTTAGGTTCATAAATCTAGACTAATTATATTGACGAATCACTCAACCTCTATATTTGCTGAACGCAACAAATGCTATAGTAGCCTTACTGACTACCTGTTTTAGTTTATCGTAAGATTCCCAGCCTGAAAAAGAATATGAAGGGAGGATATAGGAAGAGGGAAAAAAGTTTTTGATAAAAAAGACAGAATGCAGTTTATGAATAAAAATAAACTTTTGATATTTTATTTTGTAATGTCTGCAGCTGATTTATCACATAAATATCAATACTGATTGCAAGAGAACTCTTTAGTTTGAAAATAAATTCTCCTATTCAACAAGAAGAATAAGTTCATAAACTTACAAAAAATAAACTAGACAATCTTTCCGACCATCAGTTTGTTGTACATACGATTAACAGGCAATATATCGAAAAACAATTGTCTCTGCATCGCAAGCGTCATTATTCTGCCTTCAGATATCAGTCAATAGTGACTTCTGCTAAGAGACAGTCGCATATTTGCTGGACTCGGTTTCATCGGTATGACTTTAAGAGTTTTAGTTGCGTCATACAGCGTCAATAAGATGCAAAAATAGGGATAGTAAAAACTCGATATATTATTATTGTAATGTATGCAAGATAATATTTTTCTACGAATTCCTTATTCCCGCTAATGTGTACAGCTCCCATTTCTTGGAATCTACCTTCTCATTTCAATAGTGTTGCATGGCAGTTACTACGAGTACACTAAGTAGTATCGGAAGTGGAATATTTGGTACTTCTTGCTTCATGGGAATATATATCGATACTGGATATATCAATATTGGATTCTTCAGAAATTTCATATCAATTTTTTAAAAGGACGTAAGAATGACATGCTATGTATGACATATTTTTCAATTTCCTCGAGTATATAGAATGTCTGACGGAAATTATACGAAACCACGTGTAAAAGCACGCCAAACTGAACAAGCGCTTGAGTAGCTTATACTTTAGTGCAGGCACAATTTATATAGCAACTGATACCGTCGTTCAGAGAGAGAACAGTGAAAGGAGATTGTGCGAATTTCTTACGCAAGTATTGGCTGCGTTTAGCGAAACAAAGTGAACAGTCAGCAATCAATTATTATTAGTCTGCACTGTTAGATCCCTACATTTGTTCCATCCATAAACCTGTTAGACTTATAAATCTAGACTAATTATATTGACAAACTCAACCGCTGTATTTGTTGAACGCAACCATTGACAAATATTATGGTAGCTTCACTGTATATCTATTTTAATTTGAAACTATCGTAAGATTCCCAGCCTGAAAAAGAATATGAAGAGAGTTGTAGGAAGAGGGAAAAAACATAATGCAGTTTATGAATAACAACAAACTTTTGATATTTTATTTTCTAACAGCTGATTTATCACACGAATATCAACATCGATTGCAAGAGAACTCTTTAGTTGTAAAATAAATTCTCTTACTGAATAAGAAAAATAGGTTTTTAAACTTACAAAAATAAACTAGATAACCTTTCTGACTACCAGTGTACATACGCAGGCAATACAGTAAAAAATAATTGTCTCCGAATCGTACATGTCATTACTCTGCCTTCAAATATTCACTGCCACTAAGGAACAATCGCACCTTAATCATTTTCAATGAGACAAAATTCGTCTCATGGCATTATGCGCATTAGTTCGCCAATTTTTTCATTAATATCTCGAAATCTCATGTAGTTGTTTGGAAAATGGCAGAGAAATTTTCTATTCACTTTAACTTAATTTATTTATACACATACACGTTGATACACTTTGCGTCAAACAGACTCTATATAATTACGAAATCATTTTATAAGACTCCAAAAATAGCTGGAACCGTAATAAATTTTTGTGATAAAAACATTAGAGAGAAAAAGCGATTGAAACCGATGGTATCTAGAAAATCTAATTATTTTCTATCGCTATCTATCGTCTTCTTTTAGGAGAATATTGAATTTCTGGAACACACTAGAAAAGATTAAGTGTATATTGTACCGCTTTCTTAAAATCTGTCATGAATAAAACATTGAAAATCTGTTGTAAATAACATCTGTTTATCATTAGTAATGATAAGGGAAACATAAAGTTCTCTATTATAGATAATTATCTTTGCACTTGGAACTCGTCGTACGATTTCCATTGGACTTTGTCGTCTTTGATAAACTGGTCTGAACTATATGACATTAAAGGTGCCTTTACTAGGAGCGTCGAGCATCGAACGTCAAGTATTGAGTATATGCACATTAATATATAGTGAGTGTTTGCTGAAACACAAAATTAATTTGATTGCACTCTGAACTGTCAATTGAATTTCGAGATATTTATTAGCAATTCAGAAAAAGTTGCAAGATATTACAAAATGTCTATTAATTGTCAGCATCATTTGTGGTTATTAAAATGCAGTAGCATTATGAGTAACCCCAAGTAGCACAGCAGCATCTACAAAGCGCTCAGAAAGACTTTTGCAGGTGTCTTACTGTTATAAAAGCGCTATACAAGCGCTTTACAAGTGCTTTGTGCTACGTGCTACGAATATTACAAACAAAACGTTAATTGCATTAATGTCACTAATTGCAAATGCAATATAAGCAAAAAAAAATGTTTTGGGTATTACAAATATTCGCAGAAAGAAAGGGACACGAATTCGATTACGCAACATTGCACTAATAGCGTCAAGACGCTGAAATCTGAACGGTTTAAGGTACCTTTACATAAGAGCATAGAGCGTCGAGCATGAAAGCGGTAGCCAATCAACGTGCCACTTTCCGCAAGAACTACACGTATACTTCTGGGACCTGATACGTTGATTGGCTAACGCTTTAACGCTCGACGCTGGAACGCTACCATATATTGGCACCTTTAGATTTATGCGCAAAGGTGCTGCGCACGGGTTTGACGTTTGACGCTCGACGCTCGAACGCTTACACGTAATGATAACTTACCAGTTTCAGTTGCGTCGTAATGACTTGCAGATGGGGATAGTAAAAACTACATTATTATTGTAATGTATGCAAAATAATATTTTTTTGTGAACGCGTTATTTGCAATAACACACATACAGCTCCTGTTTCTTCAAGTTTATCTCTCCATTTCAACAGTGTTGCTTAGTATGTTATTAGAAGTATACTACGTAGTGTCGAAAGTGGAAAATCTTATGCTTCTTGCTTCGTGGGAACATATATAACGATATATTGGGCTCTCCAGAAATTTCATATAGATTTTTGTTAAAGAATGTTGAAGACAACAATTCTGTGTATGAGGTATTGATTATAATCTAAATGCATTGAAAACTGTTTTTTATTCTTATAATCACGTAGTGGAATAATTAACCTCATAACGCATGTCTACAATCGAGATAGAAGACGTCCTTAAAACGCCTTTAAGATATTTTACGTTCCGAATTTAGACGTTGTGTTGTGTGGATATTTGGGAAAATTTTTTATTCATGTATTGCTATTATCTTTTATATGTGTATTGCTTTTTATTTTTTCTATTAGAACCACAAAATAAGGTGGGCAACGCAAGAAATTTAAGTGAGATGGTCTACATTTTTGCTTAAAATTTGCTCAATACAGTTATAATTTGTTGAGCGTATACAGACGAATTATTTCGTACCGGTTATATTGTCATCTAACAGTTAATCAACATAATGCTGGTCATGAATATAGCTTTAATCTTAATATGTGTTGGTATAATCTACTTAATCCCGAATTATCGTAAGCGGTTACGATTCATTCAAGTGGCAAATGCATTGCCAGGTCCAAAAACGAAACCAATTATTGGGAATGCCCACTACTTTCTCCAGAAAAATGTTGACGGTAATATTATTATTTATATACTGATCAATATTACAGCTAAATGATAAAAATTTTGCAAAAATAAAAGTAAAATTTAATAAAATTATAGAGGTGTTTAAATTGTCATCTACCCAAATCATTCACTATAGTAAATTTAATTTGCTATAAAGTCACTAAAGTATGATAATCCTTTAGAAGAAAGTAATTAAAGACTTCGCAAAAAAGTAAACTATTAAAGTAAACCATTCTTATTTCAGAATAAAACTGTTTGACGTTTGTTTGTTAAAAAGTATATCATTAAATATAGACAATTACTTAACAGTAACACATTTCTAAAGTATAAAAAATTTCAGAATTATTGAACAGTATATGTTTGCTTGTGAATACTTACTCGTCTCCATTCCGATTTTGGTTGGGCAGTATATTACTTATTTCTGTAAATGAACCAGACCAAATAAAAGTAAGAGTGCAACGCTTGTATTACTTATTTGTTAATTTATTTGTTATTTTATACTTATTGAGAAAAAATAATTGTGTCGTCAAAATCAGTGATCACCAGTCTTCAAAGGAATATTTTGCTTATTGAAAAAATTACGCGTTAATGCAAAAGTAAATTGCGTTAATATAGTTACTAATCAAATCGCAACTATTGAGTTTCTAGATGACTCGATGCAGCAACGATATAATTCGTTTAATCGACTAAATATTTGTTTAAACGAATTTTGTTCGTTCAAGCAAAGATTTGTTAATTCGACTACTTCTTTTACTCACAAGGGGAGGACCAGCTGACTCACCCTGGGATTTCAACCCCAATTTTTTTAATTATTCTGGAGATGAAAAAAAAAGATACGTATCCCGGCGTTTGATAGAATAGGCCTTAGTTTCGGAGTAGTAAATTTGTGAAAATTGGCCATATCCGAAGCGCACCGCGGCGCGTCGTATGAGCCTTCCCGGTAACTATACTTCCAACCAGTGCAGTTGGCTTGGTGAGTTAGATGCTTGCTTCATAATTCGTAAGATCCAAGTTCGCTCACGGAGGTGAACAGTAATTTTTTTTTTAATGAGTGTTTTTATTTATTTTTATTTATTTTGATGATATTGATATAGTATGCAAATTTTTGAAATAGAAAATTTAATTTAATATCACATTTTAAACATTAATTTAAATTTAATTTTAAGGGAATTTTATTTCAAGTAATAATATTTGAAATAATAAATAAGTAATAATAATAATATATAAGTTATTTGTACCGGCAGCTCTCTTCACGAGAAGACGCAATAAAGATTCATTCTTTAATTTATTCACAATCGGAAGCTTTTACAGATATGATCAAGTACGCTTGATTTGCATAGAAATTAATTCCTGAAAGAAATGTGTTTTGAAACGTCAACGAAATATGTTTCCCCCCGGACTTACGGAAAAATAAATGTGTATGTGATACTCCTTCATTTATTCATTGTGCAAACTATAGAAAATTTATATGCTTTAAATTTTTATGATGTTTATCATCCAAGTAATTGTTCCGCATCGAAATAATTTAATTTTGTAATAAATCCGCAATACTTAAATAATTGAATTTTGTAATAAAAATATTCACATTCACATTTCAGATGTTTGTTTATTTTTCTTTTTCTACGATTAATTATTACGATTTAAAAACTAGAAATTTAAAATACTGTTAATATTATTTCCAATTAAATTTTAAATTTAAACAATTTGAAAATTTAGATACGTTGCCTTTATATGTTATCCATTACAAATAACTTATATATTATTATTATTACTTATTTATTATTTCAAATATTATTACTTGAATTAAAATTCCCTTAAAATTAAATTTAAATTAATGTTTAGAATGTGATATTAAATTAAATTTTCTATTTCAAAAATTTGCATACTATATCAATATCATCAAAATAAATAAAAATAAATAAAAACACTCATTAAAAAAAAAATTATTGCTCATCTCCGTGAGCGAACTTGGACCTTACGAATTATGAAGCAAGCATCTAACTCACGAAGCCAATTGCATTGGTTGGAAGTACAGTTACCGGGAAGGCTTATATGGCGCGCCGCGGTGCGCTTCGGATATGGCCAATTTTCACAAATTTATTACTCCGAAACTAAGGCCTATTCTATCAAACACCGGGACACGTATCTTTTTTTTTTATCTGCAGACTAATTAAAAAGATTGGGGTCGAAATCCCAGGGTGAGTCACCTGGTCCTTCCCTTGTCAGTATACGAATGAATTACTAACAATTATAAAGTAGTGTTGTTGTCTATCTTAGCAACAAATTATTTCTGATAGCAAATTATCAACATTTGTGGAAACAAACATTCAGCATTTTTTAATTATATATTAATAAAGAAAACGATGAATATCGTAGAAGTAATAACAAAACAAATATATTAATCGGTTTTATATATTGCAGACTATTCTTCAAAACTCTAGCTGCTTGAATAAAAGCTTCATATACAAAGTTTTCAAAGCGGTGGTAGGAAATGGACTTGCTACTGCTCCTGGTAAGATCTCGCAAAAAAAGACTAGTTTGTAGCATTTATAACATGCGAAAGATAGTCATCGTGCTTTTACACGATATGGATTCGATGCAATTGATGATATTATTTATTGTATCAATAATAATATAGAAGAATATGTATGTTACACTCGCATTGAGCAATAGAATAAGCTTTATTAATTAAAAATATTCACCTTTCTTAGTATTCATCGTAGTAATATTTTGTAGTTTCTACGTAAATACGTTCGAATCATTGTTTATTAGAAAACTTATTTTTACTTCTTTATTTATTATTCCATGTTCTAATTTATCCGCTGATTAATATGCTGAAATAGAATTTTGGAAGAAGTAATAATCATTTCTCTACGAGTACGAAGTATATCCCGTGTGTGGTGAATTTGCATGCGAAACAAATAATAGCGGTCGATGTAGTATTACACACACACGCACACATAAGCGCATAAATAACACGATACATTTTGCATGTAACATGAATTTAAGAAGATTTCAGAATACGTTATTCACAGACGGGAAATATTTTGGTAAATTACTATCAAATTTATAATATTGTATTTAGCAAAGAAGTGCGCTTATAAATTTTCTTTCTTATTTCTTTTTAATATCAATATTCCGCAGAACATATATGGGTCAAACATCGAAAAATGTTAGCGCCAAACTTTAATACGAACATAATACAAACATTCTGCGACACATTTATGAAACGATCTTTGATATTTACGGAGGAATTAGAACACATGGTAAACGGCGAAGTAGATCTCTCTCCGTATATATTAAAGTGTACTTTGGACAGCATTTGCGGTAAGATAAAATGCTTATTAGATTTTGACTTATCTGAAAATTACCTTTTGTATCCTAAATTATTAAGTACGAATGTATAAATCGTTTAAAATAATAAATGATATATGTGTTGAAACATATTTTATGTATTATGTATTATATCAAAAATGACAAATCTGACTTTTTCATACGAAACTTTGAAGGCACTTCATTGGATACCGAGTTGGGATCGCAATTAAAGAAAACTGAACAATATCTTAATGCACTAATAAGGTATGATTCTCTTCAGCACATAAATTCTTGTAATTATTGTACGCTACATTCAACGATAGATTTAATTTAATGCAATGTTTATTTGTAGGGTGAAAGAGATAGTCACACACAGATTACGAAATATATTTTTATTTCCGGATTTTATATTCAGTTTTACATCTCTAAGTCGCGAACAGCAGAACCATTTAAAGTTTGCATGTTCGTTTGCAGAAGAGGTAAATATTGCAAATATATTTCCTGACGATGTTACACGATTTGCACACTACATAATCTATTACTGCAGATAATACAACAAAAGGAAAACGAGATGGATAATTTAGTTAGGAATAAAATCCAATCCGCTAAGCCTTGTAAGTTGTCAACACCTATTTTATAATATATATTTTTACGTGATGTATTTATGCAGCTAATATTACAATGTTTGAAAGTTATACAAAAAAATAGTATATGTAATATTTTAAAACAATTGGCCATACAAAGGAATACTTTCTCCCTTTTTTTAATTTTCAATACGTTATTTAAATAGATACAATTACATCTATTAAATGTGCATACAGATATTTCGTAAATTGTTATTATTAAAAAAATGAATAAATAAATGCAATCCATCCAATTTTGTGAGCAATTGACCAAATATATTTTTTAGAAATGTATTTTGTTTACCTTTTGTTAAAATAAAAAAATAGCAAGAAGGAGATTTGTTGATATGCTAATGGAAGCATCTGATGAAGGCAAGAAATTCACTCGAAAAGAGATCATCGATGAAATCAATACGATAATTGTTGCCGTACGTATTATGACGCCTTTTAAGACAAGTACTATCTGTAATGTATTAATAAAATTATAGGATTGATAGACCAAATTTCCATTTCATACGCAGGGTACCGACACAATCGCAATCACATTGAATTTTATGATGTTCATGTTAGCAAATTTCCCAGATATACAAGTACGTATTAGTACAAATACAAGTACGTATTGAATTATTTCGTGCATAATTAGATATTTTGCATAATTTGATATTTTGTGATGTAAAGACGTCAATATGCAAGGAAAGTTAACTAAAATACATTTCTTTAATATGTAGCTTCTTAATCTAGACTTTTTGTTTTCGCATTTATATGATATGCCACAAAAGTTATTTAGGATAATTTATATTTAATGTTCTGTATATGAAATAAATAAATGCATAATTATACAATAGCAAAAAGTATACGAGGAGTTGCTGGAAATTTATGGTACGCAAGATCCAAAATTCGTGCCCGTCGATTTCAAGGATTTGCAACATATGAATTATTTGGAATGTGTTATTAAGGAAACATTGAGACTCTTCCCCCCAGTGCCTGTCATAGGACGTCGACTTAATGAAGATTTACAAATAGGTTTGCTTATAAACGTAAATATATAGTGGTGCAATATATAAGAATTGTACAGTGAGTAATAGTGTCCCATTCGTTATAAACATTTTATTGCTCTAAACAATAAAATATGATTTTATTTAAATTACCTCCAGTTAATGTTTTATTATAATGATATTTTATTCACAAATAAATATGTTTCAGGAGAATATACTTTACCGAAAGGCGCCGATGTTTTAATAACAATATTAACCTTGCATCGCAATGAAAAGTATTGGCCGAAAGCATTGACATTCGATCCAGACAGATTTCTTCCGGAGAACATGACAAATATTCATCCATATAGTTATATACCGTTTAGTAATGGTCTAAGGAACTGTATTGGTAAATATACATTAGTTGAACTATAACTGTTGCAAAATATGAAATTAATCGATAAAATTACAGGTACAAAGTATGCAATGACTTTTATGAAAGTCTTTATAGCAACGCTATTGCGAACATACTTATTAAAAGTCGATAAAAAGGTTCAAATAGAAGAAATAGAATTGAAATTGAATAGTTCGCTAGTGTCCGTCATCCCTTTAAAAGTCAGAATTGAAAAGAGAAAGTGACAACATAACAATATAATTTTCTATCTCTCTTCTATTAGGAGAGTATCCAGTTGTTGGAATATGACAGAAATCCTCATATATTTGTAGTATTTATTATTTACCTAATATTACATAATGTTATATAATATTACATAATATTACATAATATTAACATAATATTACATAATAATATTGTTTACTTTTTCTGCAAAAGACCATGCAAACTTTAAATGCTTTTGCTGTTCACGACTTAGAGATGTAAAATTGAATATAAAATCCGAAAATAAAAAATATATTTTGTAATCTGTGTGTGACTATCTGAATATAAATAGGCTTTCAGCCTACAAATAAACATTGCATTAAATTAAATCTATCGTTGAATATAGCGTACAATAATTACAAGAATTTATATTCTGAAGAGAATCATTAGTGCATTAAAATATTGTTCAGTTCTCTTTAATTGCGATCCCAACTCGGTATCCAATGAAATGTCTTTAAAGTTTTGTATGAAAAAATCAGATTTGTCATTTTTAATATAATACATAACTAAAATATGTTTAAACACATCATTTATTATTTTGCACGATAGTAATAGAAATACCCTCAGAGCACATTAATATTGCCATGAAGTTACAACAACCTTAAATTGTAAGATGGTAACATTACACGGAGGTTAAACCTGTTACTAACCTTCTCATAACATGAAAATGTTCGTCCATGTTCATTCCATTAACATTACAGAAACCTTGTACGGAACATTATATTAGAGTTAATATAATAGGCCTAGAATCTATCAATATTTTTAATAAGAAATTCTTGCTAAAGAAATATTATTTATATTCAGCTTAGTCAATTTATATTGATTTTAAATGTAATTTAGCTCTATTATTTGATTTCTCACTATTTTCATACTTGAAAATTTACTCAATACTAGTCGGACGCAAACTCGAGACCTCAGATAACTCTAAGTTCCTAGTCTATCATTTCGGCTGCTGCACTATTTCTTCAACTGATACTAAGGCCGGTATTCATAGTCCGATCTTATATTTAAGATCATCTTAAGTACTGTCTTAAGATGTCATGAACCAATCACAGAGCCATATTCGCATCTTAAGATATTACTTAAGATGGTCTTGAAATAAGATTCGACTATAAATACCAATCTAAGCATTTTTTATTATCCCCATATGCGCGCGCGACGGCCGAAACAGTAATTATAATTTTCTTATAATATTATTTAATACAACTACAAAAATAAACTATGTAGTCCAAATATGTTATATAATAAAAGTAAACTTAGAGATATACATAAAACTAAAGCATTTGAATCGGTTATTTAATAAAACCTAGAGTTAATTTTATTATTAATATTTTAATTTAATTTAGTTATATTTGCTTTTTTAATAAAAAAAATTTTTATATATGAAAAAGCTGTATATACAATTAAATGATTATTAATAAACTATATTTAAATTGTATAGTATTTTTAAGATACACAGAAAGTGAAGTAATTACAGTAAGTTTGCTGAAATATTAAAGATTATATTAACTTCATGACAATATTACAATGTAAGGTTATCTTGTATGTAAGGTTAATGGCAGATTGCAGTTACATGCTTATTAAAATGTATAAGCTTGTAACCTACCCATAACCTTACTGCAATGTTCGGTGCTGTGAGGGAAGAGACATATATATCGTATCCTATATTTTGTTGGAGTCTATTGTGAATAAATCGTAAAAAATCTGCAGTGATTAATAGTATATTAATGATAGGAAATATCTAAAATTCTGTATACTTTTATCTTCAAATGCGAATTACCTTCAAGTACGGAATGCACTATATAATTATCATTGAATCGTTGTTCATCTTTGACAGAATTGTTTCATCGACATGATCTTAAGGTTTAACACCACTCTAGTGTTCGAAAATTAAGCGTATATTTTAGAATTTTTTATAGGCAAACAAAGAAATAAATCGAAAATCCGTTGGGAAGCCTTTATTGTTAAATATTTAAATATGTATTCAAATTTTTATATTAACATATATTACAAAATGACGGCGCTAGAGCCTCGTCAACATAAGCTTGTTTTTCTCCAGGGCTTGCAGCATAACTGTCGCAAATGTTGATCTAGAACAAAAAACCAAAAGGAGGAGGGTCCCTAAGGCCGGATTTTGGCACCCTCTGAAATTGATCCAAAAATATCAGAAACGTTATATTTTTCGCTGTAGATTTTAACTTACAACCTGGTCATCTCGACGTAAAAGTGTATTCAGAGGGTGCTTTCCAGTTGCGTATATTGTTAGCGTATTCGATTGGCCCTGGATTAATCGCTCCGAGAGCGATTGGTGACGTCATAAGTCTCTGCTAGCTAATCATAAAGCTTATAGATATTTGTTCGATCAATAAACGTAGGTTGAATAACCCAGAGTGGGTTAACCCAGAGCCAGTCGAACATGCTATGTATTACACAAAACCAGTTTATTAGTTGCATATTATCTTACAAGATATTTTAGATAATATGTGACCAATAAACTGGTTTTGTGTACGTGTGTGTCAAGATGTGTTAAGTAATTGGAAAGCACCCAGAGAATATTCGATTGTACGCTGTTGTGCGCATTTCGAACAGCAATCTATCGAGCAATTGAAATACCCAATCAAAAAAGCGGATAGTTACTTGGACCAATAACCTTGGGCCTTTAGGACTCTCATCCTTATCCAATATTGAGAAGCAGAAGAAGAAGAAGATACTTACTTGATTAGGTTGTAACCAGATTTCGGAGATTACAGGTAAGGTGCAATCAATTTAATACGTTTCACTCTTGTATCTCCTTCTATTTGCCGTGACTCTATCGTTTATCGAACTCGTATAATGAAATGAACTTTGCTTTGCAGGATTTTTACGGTCGTCACCTGCTCAAAATAATGACGTCTACCGGCTACCGGCGCCTTTCTCGTCGCGCGAAAGAACGGGATTCTGAGGAGAGTAATGAGAACTCACCGGTCTTTGTTTGCAATACGTTCTTGTTTATTAGGCTGCTCGTCTGGCAGGCTTCTCTCGGGAAAATCGTCGTCGTCGTCGTCGTCTTGCACTCACGTTCGATTTTATCGATATCGGTCCGCACTCGAGGGCCGAACTTCTTCTTACGGCAAAAGAGACAGATAAGAAATCCACCCCCGTGGTGCGAGTCCCCCAAAAATCCCTATATCCGTTACGAATAAGTAGTACGGGTCACTCGTACTAACGACCCCGACGACGATTCCACCAAGCCCGCTAATACATGTTCGCTCAGCGTTACAAAGTTTTGTCAATTATATAAAAATATAAAATTATAAAGATATAAAGATATATATATATATATATATATATAAAGATATATATATATATATATATATATACAATGTTTTATATCATAATATATTTTTCTTTTATAAGTAGAAATTTTAAATAAGCCATTATTATTAACAATATTTTATAAAGAATCTTTATATTTAAATCTTAAATTTGAAAATATTATTTATCTTCATATTTATATTATACGTACATTTTTAGAAAGAATCTGACAATGAAAACTATGCAATGTTATTAATTGAGACACATTTAAAAGAGAAGCCTAATCGTATTGTTGGATATACGGAAAATGTTGTGGCAAACTACAAAAAGAGAGTTTCAATAACATTTCAAATTGTCTTTTGAAGCATTCGAATATTTACTGAGATAAGTTGGTCCGTTATTAAACTTAGCTACAGATAAAAATAAACAAATTGGTCGTTCACCGATAGATCCACGAAAGCAATTACTTTCAGTCATTTGGATATTAGCTACACTTGATTCATACAGGTATACGTTTATATTTACAAATCGGATAAGGATTAGATAAAATTAAAAAAAATATAAAATATATATTAAAGAAATATAAAAATATATTAGATATACAACTTTGCTTCCGCCGTTTTTTTCCGAAATTCGAGGCTTTATTGTAAAAAACTGGTTATACATTTATGATTCGAAGTATTGTCCACTACTTTCTTCCATCTTTCGGGCAGCGTACGAATCCCGCGTCGAAACAAACTGGTCATCTTTTGAGGCAATCCATGAATCGATCCAATTTTTTACTTCTTCATAAGACCGAAAGTGCTGGTCATCCAGGCCACATGCCATTGATCGAAACAAGTGATAGTCAGAGGGAGCGACGTCTGGAGAATACGGCGGGTGGGGTAGGACTTCCCATTTCAACGTTTCCAAGTATGTCTTGACCACTTTCGCAACATGAGGTCGAGCACTGTCATGCTGCAAAATCACTTTATCGTGTCTCTCGTTGTATTGCGGCCGTTTGTCTTTCAATGCTCGACTCAAACGCATCAATTGCGTTCGATACCGATCGCCTGTGATTGTTTCAATCGGTTTTAACAGCTCATAATAGACTACGCCAAACTAGTCTCACCAAATACAAAGCATGACCTTGGAGCCGTGAATATTCGGTTTAGCCGTCGACGTGGAAACATAGCCGGGAACTCCCCATGATTTTCTGCGCTTGGGGTTATCGTAATGAACCCATTTTTCGTCCCCAGTCACAATGCGATGCAGAAATCCCTTCCGTCTTTGCCTTTCAAGCAGCTATTCACAAGCAAACAAACGCCGTTCAACACCTCTCGGCTTCAATTCGTACGGCATCCAATTTACTTGCTTCTGAATCATTCCCATCGCTTTGAGGCGTTTTGAAATGGCTTGTTGAGTCACTCCCAATGATTGTGCCAATTCTTCTTGATTTTGACACGAGTCTTGATCAAGTAATCCCTCCAATTTTGCATCTTCGAAAACCTTCTCTCTTCCACCGCTGTCGGTCTTCGACG